AACTAACTTTATGATCAGGAAATCATATGTCATCTAACATTTGTTTTCAGCTCTTATAGTCCTTTGTTGAAATACATTGCAAATCTTTGGAGGCCAGTGTGACTTATACCAGAATATATCACCATCACTGTTAACCATAATTAAATCCCATACAAACGTTTCTAGGAAATGTTTCTATATCTGCAATCACTTTGAAGCAATTTCCTGTTAAATGAATTGATTTCAATTCAGAGTTGATGCATATCACAGAATCACCATAACTTTGACATTTATCAGTACTTTAGAGAGCTGGTTGTACAGTTCCACACATTACCTGTGTGCTAATGGTATATTTAAAACCGTTACATATATAATATCTATATATAACAACATATGTAATACTAAGTCATTAAATGGTGGTCTCCTTTCATCAAAGTGCTACATGTTCACTGGTACATATTGATGTGTATAAAATGGTATACTTGTTTATGAATACCTGAATATGTAAAATTTCAATTGCTAGATGATTAAATACATTTACCTACAAAACATATACATACTTCTAATTGATATCGTGATTAAAAGTATGTTATATGTAGGACGGAACAGGTGTTATTTTCTAGACATTTTAAAGACAAGTTTTTTTCTTATTCAAATATTTGAACAGCTATATATACATCTCACTGTTTAGGTTTCTAATATATGGGTCTAATTTGTATGATATCTAGAAAGGTAAACATTTGCAGTTTTTTGGTATAACCTCTGTATATAAACCTCTTACAAAGCAATATTACTCAAAAGGTGTTTGATTCTGTTAGAAAACTAATGTAAATATTGACTCTATTTCATATGATATCTAAGCCATGTGTCATAATGTAGCGGAGTGTATATCAGATATATTAAGGATTTAATAAACAACCCATTTCTCCTTTAATTCAAGATATGTTTCCATGAGTGGGATATTGCCTTCAAGAGTTACCACATGACTTGATGTTTCCCAGATTTACATAAAATATTTTGACAAGATATATTATAATAACGAATCATTGTCTGTTCATATCTTCAGCTGATCAAAAAACTCGAAAAAGTCTCTCAAATAATGCTAGACTCTATCATCTTGAGGTGAATTTATGTTTGAATGAACCTCTTTGTGATTAAACTATAATCTTTGAAAGTTGGTAGCATGACAACATACAGCACTGTTTTCCTCAGTAGCATTTGGCAGGAGCAACTTTTGGTAGAGTTGAATCTGGGACCTTTAAGTTAGCTGAAGACCAAAGGTTCTTGTTGTATGAATAATAAGTACAGTTTTAAAAACGTTCTGAAGTGTTTGTTGTGTGGACAATAGATTGTTGTACTGTTCAGTAGAAGATCTGAAAGGTTTGTTGTGTGGACAATAAAATGTTGTACTGTTTAGTTGGGAGATCTGAAGGATTTGTTGTGTGGACAATAGATTGTTGTACTGTTCAGTAGAAGATCTGAAAGGTTTGTTGTGTGGACAATAAAATGTTGTACTGTTTAGTTGGAGATCTGAAGGATTTGTTGTGTGGACAATAAAATGTTGTACTGTTTAGTTGGAGATCTGAAGGATTTGTTGTGTGGACAATAGATTGTTGTACTGTTTAGTTGGAGATCGGAAGGATTTGTTGTGTGGACAATAGATTGGTGTACTGTTTAGTTGGAGATCTGAAGGATTTGTTGTGTGGACAATAGAATGTTGTACTGTTTAGTGTGAGATCTGAAGGATTTGTTGTGTGGACAATAGATTGTTGTACTGTTCAGTAGAAGATCTGAAAGGTTTGTTGTGTGGACAATAAAATGTTGTACTGTTTAGTTGGAGATCTGAAGGATTTGTTGTGTGGACAATAGAATGTTGTACTGTTTAGTGTGAGATCTGAAGGATTTGTTGTGTGGACAATAGAATGTTGTACTGTTTAGTTGGAGATCTGAAGGATTTGTTGTGTGGACAATAGATTGTTGTACTGTTTAGTTGGAGATCTGAAGGATTTGTTGTGTGGACAATAGAATGTTGTACTGTTTAGTTGGAGATCTGAAGGATTTGTTGTGTGGACAATAGATTGTTGTACTGTTTAGTTGGAGATCGGAAGGATTTGTTGTGTGGACAATAGATTGGTGTACTGTTTAGTTGGAGATCTGAAGGATTTGTTGTGTGGACAATAGAATGTTGTACTGTTTAGTTGGAGATCTGAAGGATTTGTTGTGTGGACAATAGATTGTTGTACTGTTTAGTTGGAGATCTGAAGGATTTGTTGTGTGGACAATAGATTGGTGTACTGTTTAGTGTGAGATCTGAAGGATTTGTTGTGTGGACAATAGAATGTTGTACTGTTTAGTTGGAGATCTGAAGGATTTGTTGTGTGGACAATAGATTGTTGTACTGTTTAGTTGGAGATCTGAAGGATTTGTTGTGTGGACAGTAGAATGTTGTACTGTTTAGTTGGAGATCTGAAGGGTTTGTTCAGTAGAAGATCTGAGCTAGACACAACACTGTGCCTGTATCTAGCAGATCAAGATCTAGAGAGCAATTTGCTATAAGATAACAGGTAGATATTGCTAATTAATGATTATTTAATGAGTGCAGAAATGTACACATAATTTGTACTGTCATGTATTCATTGCTTTGATTTTCTTAAAGAAAATAGTGATATCAGATGGTGTGATATATATATTCTTAGTGCATGGCATAACATGCCTTGCCAAATTGATACTGCCTTTACTGTTATTCACAATGGTAACTTAAAATATTTGAACATAAGAGTCTTTATGGGAAAGCAATTTTGATAAAAAAGGCTTTATACCTTTAAAAGTTCACTACTGAAGAGTTCGCTATGGTTTACACATGACAAAATATCCTTTTTGTAATCGGTATACTATTGAACGTTTTGAAGGTTTTATGATACAGACCTAGGGTCGATTTACAAAACTCATAGTGGACAAGGTGATGAAGACATCATAAGATGCATTGTTTGGTCAAATTTCAATTTCCCGATTGTTTTCGCTCTTCATCTCGGAAAAGATTTGTTAAAATAAGCAATGTTTTATTAAAAGACAATTCTTTTTCCTTGTATTTAACAATGGCTGGGAATTACATTCCAGTTTGATATCAGAGATTGTAAACAAGTTATAAGTACATTTTATATTGACTTAAAGATATTTTCTTTCCTTTGTAATCAAACGTTATATCCTATACCAAAGGTTTCCTATTAATAACAGGATGTTTTCCTTGATTATAGTCAAAATCACCAACTTTCTTTGCTTTATAAAAATATCCACAGGGTACAAGTTATAATACCTATGTTTGTGGTAAAAGGAAGTTTTATTCCAAAATCAAACATCAAGTTTTAATGAAATTGTTTGACATTTTCTCTCAGTCATATTATTGTATTCAAGTACAGAACAAAGAAATGCTGTAACATCAAACATCATGGCAACTTTCTTTGATTTATAAACATATCCACAGGATACAAGTTATAATACCTATGTTTGTGGTAAAAGGAAGTTTTATTCCAAAACCAAACATTTAGTTTTAATGAAATTGCTTGACATTTTGTCAGTCACATTATTGTATACCAGTACAAACCTGTCCTTCTTATTAGAACAAAGAAATGCTGTTTGTCAAATTGCATGGTAAGGCTGGTGGGAAACTAGCTGTTAGATAAGTCACATCACTGACCCTTGTCCAAGTTTGGCCACAATTTAGACTATGCTAACACTCAACAATACAGCTCTGTTTGATATCTTGACTGATGAAATATTATCACACTTACAAAACTTGATTGCACTGCTTTGAGGAGTACAGTTCAGACAAAGATAGATTCTGTGATAAGTTACAGTCATTTCATTGTGTGTAATTCAGGTTATGTGAATAGATATAGATTGACAAGAATGAAATAATAAAAATTGTGGTACATAATATCATTGTAAGTCAACAGTTTATATTTGTGTTTCAGTTGACAGACCTCGGTGTGTGTGTAAACAAAGTCATAATGTTCTGATCATAACACCCATGTACTTTTAAATTGTTTCATTATCATAAAGGTTCAAAGCCATAGGTTATCATTTAGTAGTAGTACTTTCCAGGAATTAAGGATGATTAGAAAGTAGAAATTACAGCAAACTTTGTATCAACATGTTGCTTTTCATTAGAATATAATCCTTTCTATAACTCCTGTTTAATTTTGAGTGATTATTATTTTTTGTTGTTTGTTTAATTAAGCAGGTTGTTACACTATGAAATGTTTTTGAAATGGATTGGTAATCAGTAGGCTTGTCCTGGAAAATCATAGTTATTGGGTTTTTTTTTGGTGAAATCATTAGCTAGTAACACTCATAATACACAATGTTTTATCATGCCTGTAACACAGCAATCTCTACTGATTTTGTGTTTGTTTTATAATGTGACATGGCACTAGATATTGTTTTATAATGTGACATGGCACTGGATATTGTTTTATAATGTGACATGGCACTGGATATTGTTTTATAATGTGACATGGCACAGTATTGTTTTATAATGTGACATGGCACAGTATTGTTTTATAATGTGACATGGCACTAGATATTGTTTTATAATGTGACATGGCACTGGATATTGTTTTATAATGTGACATGGCACTAGATACTGTTTTATAATGTGACATGGCACTGGATATTGTTTTATAATGTGACATGGCACTAGATACTGTTTTATAATGTGACATGGCACAGTATTGTTTTATAATGTGACATGGCACTAGATATTGTTTTATAATGTGACATGGCACTGGATATTGTTTTATAATGTGACATGGCACTAGATACTGTTTTATAATGTGACATGGCACTAGATACTATTTTATAATGTGACATGGCACAGTGTTGTTTTATGATTTGACATGGCACTAGATATTGTTTTGTAATGTGACATGGCACTAGATATTATCTCTAGGAATCAAGACTTCAAAAGAACAGTTTTGTATCAATTATTGGAAAATCATTAATGTGATTTTTATGTTTTTCAGCATGTGGAGGATATGGGCTTGGTCATGGTGGTCTTGTGTGATTACCAGGGACGTAAGTTCCAGCTAAGGAGCCCTTCCCTCGCGGAGGAGCTTAACCCAGTAGCCCAACAAGTTGAGGATGCTATCTGTGACTGCAAGACCAAGCTCAATGCCTGCTTTGCCAGACACAGGATCAAGGCATCAGCACCTTCAGTGGAACATTTACTACCAGACTTAGTCAGGTCCAAAGAGGAAATCCGCTCACAGATGCCGATGTATCTGTGGGTCAATCAGACCAAACTCAGGTATATCTACTTATTCAATGTCTTTCAAGGCCAGGTGTACAGGGTTGGTCCTTGTATCTGTGGGTCATCCAGATAATCACTCAACAGGCTTCACACAGTTAAACTCTTAATAGTCTAGGTCATGGTAGTTTAATATTCATACTTTCCTCTCTGCAACTTTCAGAATAAAACCATGAAACTATTTTCATACAATGACTTCATTTTCAGTTAAGGTCTTAAATGAAATGGAAGGTCATTGGTAGCAAACTTATGCCTATCTGCAACATTATAAAAAACAAACCCACTTCATTAATTCTACCTTATACCAGAAGTCTGAGTTCAGGCTTAAAGTCAGACCAAAGCTCAAGATCATCACAGCTGAATGTTTTCATGTCTACAGCATTCTGGAAAATTTGATTTTAGGTGAGACAATACAGTAGGTCTTTATCTTTTGTGAAGGTCAAAGGTCAAGGCCATGACAGCAGAATATTTACACCACCTTTGTACTCTATTTCTTCCCCATATTTCATTAACATGTAAACAGGATTTTATCAGTTGTTTTATACAATAGACTGCAGATCAAATGATTATGTTGTTTTGAGGGTATGCCACATTTCCAGTGCTGCTATCTAGTTCTGAAGCTGTCATTACCAATTCAACAATGAGAATCTGGTGGAAGTTTATTTTGTGTGACTGATATCAGCAATTGGTTCAGAAATTGTTCCTTTTTTCTTTATTCTCAAAAAAAATTTTATCATTCAAATACAGGATAGCCTTTTTTTTAAGAAATAAAATTTTCATTTCTAAGTATAGCAACCTTTTATTGATGTGTAATATTTTACACCAAATTAAATATATAGAACAGATTCCTAAACACCTACGTGTAGCTCTATCATGTACATACAAATAAAACACACCTGTGCTGAAACATTTGTTTCTCTTTCAAACTGAAAGCAAACATTGATTATTTAAACAAAAGCAACTGCTAATGTATTGTTTGTATCCATATGGTTCGATGAGTACAGGTCCAGAAATAGTCCAACAGATGTGTCCCCAGATATAGCATTCCCATTGGGAAGAATGCTTCATGTTTAAGCTCTTTGAAGAGGAACGGTGAAATCAAGAGATTTCATCTGTCACTGTTCATACAATGCTGGGAGTGGTAATCATAAATTTTTGCTGATAGAGGTGGAGATGTAAAGGACATGTTGACTGCAAACAAGAAGAGATCTAATACCTGTTTATAGACCCGTTATTTTGTCAAAGGATAAATAGATATCATTATTTCAGAAATGAAGGGTCATAAAAAGCTTTGAGCAAGTGTGTGAAAGACAAAAATACAACAGCTGTATGTTGTACACCTGTACACTTGAAGGGTCCTAAACACTCGGTGATTAGCATTTCTGTATACACAAATGCCTGATCAAGGAACAGATTGACTTTCTTAGTAACTGTAGTTGTCAATTGTCAATGTGAACAAGTTGAAAGCAAAGAAAAACTGCAGCTATAAATATTGAGCACTTGGCAGTGGAACTCTAACTGTTGTTGAGAGATAACAAAACAAACAGTTAATCTTGACAACAGAATGGGTCTCCTGGTTACAGGTTTTGATTGGGCTCAATTTATCCTGACATATGTTGACTTTATAAAAAATATCAATAGTAAGAAAAGGTAAACTAATTAGTCATTCTACTGATTTTATGTGTATGCACAAATGATGAAAAAACAGGTATATACCTTGACAGTTGTTTTGTTCTCAGTATTCCGGGCTTCCTTAAGATGTACGAAATGTATTTCAACACTTAAGGCTGTAAAAGGATGTTGAAAAATGTTAAAGGATATATACCAGTAGTCAAAATGTACAAATATGTGTCTTTAGAAGAAAGCACCATTCCCATTAAATAGACCTCTCAAAGAGAAGTGACACTTATGGTACTGTAAATGCCTTTCCTTTTACAGGTTATCTGGTTTTTATTATGGGAATTTACAGTGACGACACACATTCCAATCTTAAAAATTGCAATCAATGTTAATTTGTACTATTTAATGTCAAATGTATCAATATTCCACTGGACAGTCTTGATTTAGCTTTGATTCATGTCAATCACACAAATATGCAAGCAGATGTTTGTGATGTCATTTATGTTGGCTATAACTGCCACATCAAGACTGATCAGTGGATCAATAGTACCGTACATGAATTGAAAGTTATAGGAACATCCTATTACATTTGTATTTTAATTTATCTGTGTAAGAGTACAAGCCAAGAACAGGTCTCTTGATGTTTCTGTTTGTATGTACAATAACTACCTGCTAATTTATAACTTGTTATTGATATATAAGATACCCTATAACCAGTAGTTTGTATCAGTGCTTCCATCCACAAGGTCAGTGCTAAGACTAACCTCTACTTTATACAAGTATCCACATGTAAGGTGTACATAGGGTCATCTTTAGGACTCCTCAAGTCAGTCAGCGAATAAATAATAAAGTGTTTAATTATGACGCAGAGAGATAACATGCTTTCTTATTGATTCTGGTCAGGAAGTTTGGTATGAAACTTCAACATAACGCAATTGTTTCTCCTGGACAAGCGATAGACTGGGATCCTCCTCATCTTGATCAGTGTTAGGCTGATATTTACAGATGAAATTTCTGAAGATGAAATTTTGATGTAAGATGTTGTCTCTCTTTAGTGATCAAGTGTCACAACAATTTCTAATTTAAAGATATGATATGTTGTAGTACACAAGAAAATTTCACCTTTTTACAAGTTTACGTGAGTTGAAGTTGTCAATGCTTTACGAAGGGACTCCTGATACAGTGTTGCTAGATATTAGGGCCAGTGGTAAATCACACTTTGTAGATTAAAATCCAATAAACCTTATTTATTGAAGTCACAACAGGCTGCATAAGCCAGATAGAAATCCAACCAGATATTTATTACCTCAATGGCATTTTAATTTGGTTTTATTACAGTGTTGAGATCAGTGTAAAGCTGATATTGAGCTGGTGAGGTGATGCACTGTACCACATAGACTGACTAATTACAGGGGCCTTATATAACCAAACCAATTTACTTGTGTTGTTTATCATACACAGATTGAAAATCACTTGTTTTGAAGTCATTGTCCCCATCTTCCTGAAAAAATGCAATAATAAGAGCAAAGCTGTTGGGCAATGAAGCTGAAGCTCTAAAATGACCAGAAGTTGTAAATTAGGCTGAGAATGGACAGGGTTATTTCCCTTCATATGCTACCCAGGTTGTAGATTGTCATGATGTCATCTGATTTTGAGTCCTGACTGTGCATTTTAGAGTTGATTTTATGACAATGCATTGTGACTTATGTCATGTTAAGTAGATCTTGGTATATCTTCCATTTGCTCGGAGAGGAAGACATGTGATGTTAACAATGTATAATGTCTTTTATTCTATCCAGTCTTGTCCTGTTTCACTCACTTGTGAACAGAACATCATTTGTTAAGCAGATTTAGAACACACTTTACACACAGATCAGTAATTACAATCTGGGTCTCTTTACTGTTTACAGTGTATCAGAAGCAATGGAGCTGTTTAAGGATGAGGGCTTCACATTGGTGGGTTCTGATGATTGTGTGGAGGGGCAGAAATTCAGTGTAGATTCCATGTGCACAGATGTGTTCCAGTTCCCCCCAGACAAACGTGAATACCTCTTACAACATGACCTTGTCATGGCTGGCAAGGTTGTTCTGCAGGTAACGAAACTAAATCTTGAAATCTTTGATCAATTTGACAAGGATTCTATGCAATTGCAGTCTTTTTCCTGCATTCAACTGAAAGTGTTGTGTAGCTTTATGGTTGTAACATATTGTACCTTATCTAAAAGTAATGTTACACTTTATCTGAACAAGAATTTATCCAAGTTATTGTTTAAACCAACCAAATCCTTTAGTATAGACAACAATAATACAGAGACTTGATAAAGCCTGGAACTTTGTATACTGGAAATCCTCATAAGATCACATTAACCATCTTACACTGTCATAGAATAATCTTTTTGTCTTTTTTATGGTTGATGTCTTACATAGGGTATGCAAATAAATATCTTTCAACTTGTATTATATTTTGGGTGTTTCAGGATAAGTCCAGTAGTATAGCTCCCCACTCGGTGAAATACTTGCTAGGGGAGGACAGTGATGTCATACACGTCAATGTCGGGTCAGGGATGACCACTGCCCATCTGGCCAGTCTCATGCAGGCAGGCTCTGGCCATGTTTGGGCTTTTGGTAATCGGACATCAGCATCACAGTTCCAGCAGAACATGGAAAAACTTGGCATCAAAGGTAATCAAACCTAGATAAATATTATTGCCTGTTAACATGTATCATATATGCCTGAGGTATGACAGTATCAATATCAGCCATATGGTTTATCAGGATGACAGGTGTTGTAAAATAACCAGACAAGTGTTCTTACCATATTTATCCTACAGTAAGCCCAGAGGGCCCAGACATTATCAGGTCAGGGATAGGCTGAAATCTGCAACATATATGGGTGAGCTTATTTCCATATATGGAATTATTGTTGGATGAAAATTTTTGAAGTGGTTTATCTTGATAGCAGGAAACTGAGGTTACCTTACTTACATAACTATTTATCATGATTGTACTGTACTTTTGAAGCCCTCCTTTTGTCTTTGTGAATACTTGTTCCTCTTCCTGGCAGCAAGATTTGATTTTCAAGATTGGTAGTCTAAAAAATTCAGAGAAAATAATGTGTGCTGTTCAAAGGATGACCAAACTTGGCATACTTGTTACCAATCATAAAATATAAACCACTTCTGATTTTCAGTCAGGACCAGTAGTCATGGTCACTTTGGATGATATGACAAAAATACATCCAAATTGAATAAAATAAATATTGAGAGGAGATGCTCTGCCTTGCAATGCCTTGATTAGCCAAAAACTGAAATTGTTAACTGATCCAGACCTTTTTTTATGGATATTCACATAGAATGGGATCTATCTCTAGAGATAATTAAATGTTCAACTAACCAGGCTTTATAAGGATAACTTAGACACAACAGATGGTCTATCATATCTGCTTGTTCACTTAATGTCCAAGTACAAATATTTGATTTTCTCCCATCTTGACAACTAAGTGAAGCCCAGAACAAGTGTTTGACTAACTCTTGCACTTAGTAGGCCTATAAATTCAACTATGGCAAACAACTGTTAGGTAAGTTAGCATAATGCTGTCTGGTGTCAGTGGAATGTGCTGTCCAAATTGTAGTTATATATAGTGGGTTCTGTTCTGCCTCTGTGGTGTCTGCTGGATAATGTTACATACTGGGTTACATCCTGCCTCTGTGGTGTCTGCTGGATAATAATACATACTGGGTTACATCCTGCCTCTGTGGTGTCTGCTGGATAATAATACATACTGGGTTACATCCTGCCTCTGTGGTGTCTGCTGGATAATAATAATACATACTGGGTTACATCCTTCCTCTGTGGTGTGTCTGCTGGATAATAATACATACTGGGTTACATCCTGCCTCTGTGGTGTCTGCTGGATAATAATACATACTGGGTTACATCCTGCCTCTGTGGTGTCTGCTTAATAATAATACATACTGGGTTACATCCTGCCTCTGTGGTGTCTGCTGGATAATAATACATACTGGGTTACATCCTGCCTCTGTGGTGTCTGCTTAATAATAATACATACTGGGTTACATCCTGCCTCTGTGGTGTCTGCTTAATAATAATACATACTGGGTTACATCCTGCCTCTGTGGTGTCTGCTGGATAATAATACATACTGGGTTACATCCTGCCTCTGTGGTGTCTGCTTAATAATAATACATACTGGGTTACATCCTGCCTCTGTGGTGTCTGCTTAATAATAATACATACTGGGTTACATCCTGCCTCTGTGGTGTCTGCTTAATAATAATACATACTGGGTTACATCCTGCCTCTGTGGTGTCTGCTTAATAATAATACATACTGGGTTACATCCTGCCTCTGTGGTGTCTGCTTGATAATAATACATACTGGGTTACATCCTGCCTCTGTGGTGTCTGCTGGATAATAATACATACTGGGTTACATCCTGCCTCTGTGGTGTCTGCTGGATAATAATACATACTGGGTTACATCCTGCCTCTGTGGTGTCTGCTGGATAATAATACATACTGGGTTACATCCTGCCTCTGTGGTGTCTGCTGGATAATAATACATACTGGGTTACATCCTGCCTCTGTGGTGTCTGCTGGATAATAATACATACTGGGTTACATCCTGCCTCTGTGGTGTCTGCTGGATAATAATACATACTGGGTTACATCCTGCCTCTGTGGTGTCTGCTTAATAATAATACATACTGGGTTACATCCTGCCTCTGTGGTGTCTGCTTAATAATAATACATACTGGGTTACATCCTGCCTCTGTGGTGTCTGCTGGATAATAATACATACTGGGTTACATCCTGCCTCTGTGGTGTCTATAGGGTAGTAATTCTGTCCTGCCTCTGTGCTGTCTACATGGTAGTAATTCTGTCCTGCCTCTGTGGTGTCTGCTTAATAATAATACATACTGGGTTACATCCTGCCTCTGTGGTGTCTGCTTAATAATAATACATACTGGGTTACATCCTGCCTCTGTGGTGTCTGCTTAATAATAATACATACTGGGTTACATCCTGCCTCTGTGGTGTCTGCTGGATAATAATACATACTGGGTTACATCCTGCCTCTGTGGTGTCTGCTGGATAATAATACATACTGGGTTACATCCTGCCTCTGTGGTGTCTGCTTAAATAATACATACTGGGTTACATCCTGCCTCTGTGGTGTCTGCTGGATAATAATACATACTGGGTTACATCCTGCCTCTGTGGTGTCTGCTGGATAATAATACATACTGGGTTACATCCTGCCTCTGTGGTGTCTGCTGGATAATAATACATACTGGGTTACATCCTGCCTCTGTGGTGTCTATAGGGTAGTAATTCTGTCCTGCCTCTGTGGTGTCTACAGGGTAGTAATTCTGTCCTGCCTCTGTAGTGTATACAGGATAGGAATTCTGTCCTGCCTCTGTGGTGTCTACAGGGTTGTAATTCTGTCCTGCCTCTTTGGTGTCTACAGGGTTGTAATTCTGCCCTGCCTCTGTGGTGTCTACAGGGTAGTAATTCTGTCCTGCCTCTTTGGTGTCTACAGTTTAGTAATTCTGTCCTGCCTCTGTGATGTCTATAGGGTAATAATCCTGTCCTGCCTCTGGAATGTCAGGTTGCCATCGTATCAGGATGGCAAGTATATTGAATAGAGACATAAGTGTTTTGTAGAAGAAGTGGCACTAAATCTGACTGCTATTTACAACTTTTTCTATGGTTTCTATAGTCCCAATCAATAAAGGCCGCTCATTTACTTTTTTGTTTCTTATTGACTTTAGTAATTCTAGTTCATAATTCAGGATCTCAGAAAATTATTACTTCAATACTGGTAATTTATAGTCCAACTGAAGAATTTATAATGCAAACATATCAGGAATAAAGCCACGCAGGCACTCATTTTTATATACAATGGTTACATACGTCATAGATTTCCTGGTCCCATAAAAACTGCCTTATCAAAAATACATTTTGAATCGAGGGTTGTAATTTTACATTTCCTGAACAAATCCTATATTGTTAAAGGAGAATTCTATACTTTGTGTGTAGAATGTTATTTTTAGGTGAAATTTTCCATGTCAAAGGATTCAGAAATGATATTGATCACAATCCATTTTCTTTTCTACTGCTTGGATATTGCTATTATGCCATGGTCTATGTGAGGAAATTGACTTCAGAATTTAAATCCTTCATTGATTATTTGAAGGTTCAAATTCTTATATAGATCGCTAGTCGAAATGTCAAAGCTACTTAATTTTCTTTTTCTGAAGAGAGAATCCTTTCATGTTATGTAGACAGACATTATAACTGGGGTTTATATACCTTTAGCTAACAGGTGAGGCGATTACATTAATGGATGTTCAGTGGTTCAGTTGCAGAGAGATCTAGATTGGTGGCGTGTAGGGGTGGCATAATGTAGCCATGGCCATGACTTCAATGATTTGTGTAGATGTGCTTGTAGCATTTTAACAGTAAACTAACCTTTTTTAGTTCAGCAACTTGGGAAAAGAGAAGATAATGTATTCTCTAAACTTTAAGATGTTTCCATGGAAGGAAGATTATACACATTGAAGTAAGGTTCCCACAATCTTAGCTGTTCTCTCATCAACTTCGGTGTCAAATAAAAATAAATTTGATGTGAGTAAAAAGTGTAAGTTTCTAATTCTATATGTAGAAATTGAAGATAAAAGCAATCAACAGTCTTCGTCCAGAATATGGAGACTTGCAAGCATGAGGCATCCCCCAGGTTGTTTAACAGAATTCAAAATGAAGTCAAATTATATCTTAAAATCTACTTCATGCAGATCACAAGAGAATATTTGTGAACAGACTGAGTACCTATCTAAATGTTTGAGGCTGCATTCTAGCTATAGCCGCCTGTAATAATTAGGTATTCAGAAGGCTATTTAGTCAGATTTATCAGCTCTGTATGAAGTAAGAAAATCAGTGTTTTATCTTTAGTAAGCTTAATAAGAAAGTGTGTGTACCACAAGGCAAAATAATATTAATAATACCAGATGTATTTGAATTAAATCAACTTTTTCAGTGTATATAGAAGAGTAAAAATGAAATCAGGACTGAATCAGATACTTCAGCCTGCTATGTAAAACCAGAACCTTTTTGATGATGGCCATGCATAGTTCTGTCTGAAGTTGTAGTACTGATGAAGTCCCTACAGACATAATGATGGTAGTCTATATCTATATAAGTCTTTATCAAATGAAAACTACCAGGATTAAACATCAAAGACTGATCAAGGCATTACCTTGTACACGCCTGGTCATCAAGGCGTGTTAAACCCTTATACTTTCATGTCTTCATTCAATAACTGAAACAGGTCTCTGACCATTAAAACTGGGGTAATAGGATACTTTCTTTGGGCGGAGCCCAAAACAGCTAGTATCCACAGTAGATGAGGTCATCAGCACCATGAGGTTCAGGCTGACTTGGGTCGGGTCAATATAAAAGTGTCAGTGTGTGACTTTCTCTGACTTTCATTGCCAAATTACCAATTTTATATGACAAACATTACATTAAAACTTGAAATCACTTTTTTATAAATTTTCAATATGCAATGAAAATGGACCATAAAAGGGCTTGTATTTGATAAGATTGATATTAAAGAAATAAAAAGGTAATTTAAAAGATAGCAGAAACACATGAAGTTATTACTTTTCAAATGTGTGAATTTCATGACACTACAAGAATGTAAAATTCCATAAAGAAAAACTTGGTTGTAAAAATCACTGTAAAAAGAGTAGTAAGTCATCATCAAGTAGTTCAGTATGGAAATGTTATTGGGGGCTTCATATCACAACTTGTTTATTACTGGTAAGGGTGTTACATACAACTAGTCATTAACAAGATGGCAATGTATATATGGACAGAACTCATTACTATATAAAGACACAATGTATATATAGACAGAACCCGTTACTATATAAAGACAAAATGTATATATAGACAGAACCCGTTACTATATAAAGACACAATGTATATATAGACCGAATCCGTTACTATATAAAGACACAATATATATATATAGACAGAACTCATTACTATATAAAGACACAATATATATATATAGAGACAGAACTCATTACTGTATAAAGACACAATATATATATATAGACAGAACCCGTTACTATATAAAGACACAATATATATATGGACAAAACCCATTACTATATAAAGACACAATATATATGGACAGAACCCATTACTATATAAAGACACAATATATATATATAGTATATATATAAAGACACATCATATATATAGACAGAACCCATTACTATATAAAGACACAATACATATATATAGACACAATATAAAGACACAATGTATATATATAGACAGAACCCGTTACTATATAAAGACACAATGTATATATATAGACAGAACCCATTACTACATAAAGACACAATATATATATAGACAGAACCCGTTACTATATAAAGACACAATGTATATATATATATATATAGACACAATATATATATATATAGACAGAACCTGTTACAAGACACAATATATATATATATATATATATATATATATAGACAGAACCCATTATATATAAAGACACATATATATATATAAAGACACAATATATATAAAGACAGATCCCATTACTATATATCTCTTGCCAATTCCTTTGAGTGTCTTAAAATCAACAAAATAATGACAGTGATTAGAAACACACTGATTATCAGTTGCATTTATTGTTCCAGGTGTGAAAATGTTGACAGAACCGTTCCTCAGTGTTGAACCTGATGACACACGATTTAAAAATGTCAAGGTTATTCTAATAACAGCTGACTGTAGTAAATCTGGCATCACAAACCCAATCGATTTCATCGTTAACGAAGGTGAAGGTAAGGTCATTCAATTAGTTTAAATACTTAACTTAAATTATGGTATACAGTTGTGCTATATTTATACAGATATTTCTATTTGTGATATATTGATTGAGCTCGTTAAAGCATGCCTGTAGAGTTCCCTATAGTAATATATAATATGTGGTGTATGTTGGCAGACATGAAAATCCTGAAAGATCTGTCAGTAGGAGAGACAGACGAAAGTAAACTTGGAGAACTGGCTGGCCAGCACAATGAACTTCTCAAACATGCCATGAAATGTAAGTCACTAGTAATCTCAGAATGGACTTTAAAATGTTATGAATATCTTATCCTCAAAATTGTTACTAGCTAGTAATTCTCCAAGACACTGGACATATCAGTCTGTACTTATTATACTATGAAATACAACTTGTGTATCTGATAACTAGTATATTACAGTGAAGGAGATCCATATATTACAGCTTCACACATTGTAAAATGAGTGTGATTTAATTTTCTTTCTTATGATGTTTGTTATTTTCTTCAGTTAACAAGGCACAAGCTGTGGTGTATATGACACGGTCCATACATGAGCTGGAGAATGAGAATGTAGTGAGCAAATCTACAGAGTATATCAATATGCTGCAGAAGAGATCATTCCCATACAGAGTTGTCCCCCCTGTCCTTCCTTTCACTGGAGAGGCAATTGAGAATAAGATGGGAATACATGGAAAGCATATAAAGTTCTTTCCCACTGAGAAGACGAGCGGATGTTTTGTAACTGTGATAACAAGAGAGGTCAGTATATGAAAGTGAAAATTTATGTCCATTGATGTTTTGGAATTTAAACCAAAATTTAACTAATTCCTTTTTTTTTTTTTTTTTTTCCTTTTTTCTCTCTTTTTTTTACATATACATGTTTATATTTAAAGAATTTGGAAAAGTTGAATGTTTTGAGTTAGGACAAGAAATCCTTCTGAAATATTGTTATAATTAGTTTTAATTTACTTGACATTGCAAGAAGATTCCAATTCTGCCTTTTTATAATGCAGTTATCTGCCCCTATGAGCAGGTATTGATAGTTAAATACATGCATAATAAGTTTGCTGGAGAAAATGATGTCACTTTCTCTTTAGGTAACCGTCACAAACAAACCACATAACTATCACCTGCTCACAAGATCATATAATTTTGCACTACGAAAAGACAGAACAGCTTGAAGGAATTGATGTTTCATGTATATAGACTGAATTTTTATTTCTAAAATATTTCCAAAAGTTAACGCACAGTTTGACTTGATTTTCAATATATGTCAAAGGAAATTTTCATGATTTGTGTCACATTAGATTATACTATGATATCTATACGTTCCATTTAGAATGTTGTGTTGAGTAGAACTCTTGTGTATTTGAACAATTGATTGAATATTCCAGCCTGAAGATGCTAAGGAAGCTGCCAAGGATGTCCTTGCCAGAGCACAAGCGAAGGGTCTTCTGTCAGGCAAGAAACAGAAGGAACCAAATTCCTCTAGTGAGCACCTCAATGGTGAGGTCACAGAGGGCTTGACCAATGGTGATATAGACAGTAAACTGCTGCATAAACGCTCAAGGAAAATGCAACGCCGTGTTCAGGTTCGAGGCACTGTGTCTGCACCTCAGTACAACAAGCTATCTTCGTACTCTAAACCTCACGCCACCAGCCCCATACACAGCTACATAACCTCTACTTCCTCTGCTAAGCAGCGGTCGACCAGCATTCCACATACCACCACCCGTTCTGCCATTTCTATAGGATCCCGTCTCTACCATGCTACCACCAAGAATTCCGGTTCGGAATCGGTGAAGCGCAATAAACCTATAGTGGCAGAGCATGTCAAGGTGGTCAAACACCCGGCACCTTTCAGGTGACAAGTTCAGAGGTTACGGCTGGTGGCTAAAGGTCAAATCACATGCGTCACTTTTGTACTGAATCGCCTCACACAAAGGTCACCTTGGTCATTACTGTTTGTTTTTTTAATTGCATGACATTGCCATGTTTGTCCACACCAACTTTTGATTTAGAAGCAGGACTTTGTAATGTAAAAGTATTCGCCGTATCATCCAAATTCATGAATGTAAATTTGTTATTTAAGTGCACTAACTCTTTCTTATTCAGAAGATGCGGAAATCATAACATGCAGAGATGAGAGGTAAAATTTCTTGACTGTGAATATTTTTTCTATTCTAAAATGTATTGGGGTAGGGCTTGGGTCATTAGAGGGCAGTACCGCCTGATGTTGTTATTTATAAGGAGAGTGTGTGTATATATATATATAAAGGTGAACAATGTTTTAACCTTGTCATTGTTATTTGTATCAATTACCTAGTCTTACATAGAAAGCTATTTTTTGAAAGTCTCACCTGACTGTAGTCACATGGTGTATGCAATAGACTGCAGTTCTGTACATTGTTGTAGATATACCACATGCATTATCCCTAGAAAATGGTGCTAAGACTGGTTCATACACATCCAGGGTTTTGTAGGGGGCTGTAGTGATCACATGGCTTTCCATGGTGTACAAACCTGTGGCAATATAAACATCATTTCATAGTAAACTACACCTCAAATCTCATCTACTATGTCACATTTGTTGCTTAAAAAAAGTCTTTTCTTCGTAAACAGAAACTGATTTAAATTAATTATTAAACCTAAAGTGTTCCTGGTGTTTGTCTTCCTTTTGTCCCTGTCTGATTCTTGTTCACTTTTGCTTTGTTCTCTAAACCTCCCAGGCATGTCAAACAACGACGTACTCTTTAGAACCACTCTATGTACGTCACAAGCATTACACAACACAATCTTGTAAATGCTACAAAATCACAGAACATACACCACTAAAATACTCTGGTGTATTCTTATAAAAGTAAATCTGTTAATTTCTATACACATTAAAGCTATTGTAGAAGATATCAATGGAAAGCAAACTAGAATTTTGAACATTTATTCATATGTTTCAGGTTAAGGAGTTAAAAACTTTAGTTGAAATTTTAGTGATTTTTTCTATTCTTTCATTTGTTATATAAATCACAAATCAATTTCCCAGATTTCCAGAGATTCAAACGGGGTGTAAGGTTATTGTTAATGTTCCGTCCAACACATTGTGTGCTTCTCTCTGTGATAACATCGCCTTTCATTAATGAATTCTATTTTGATATTTTTAAGAATTAATGTTTGAGTTTGTATCTGTTAAATAAATCTAAAGTTGAAAGCATGTATTTATACCTGTTGTTATTGCTTAATGTTTAATCTAACTATATTAGATCATTTTTGATCAATGCAATGTCACATGTGAAGCTTTCGTTTTTATAATATACATGTACATTTCAAATTCACCAATGTACATTTATAAATGATTGAGTTAAAATATTAAAAATGTTGTTAATTTCACAAATATAGACACTATTTCATATGTTTGAAATGTTTGTTATTTTACCTGAAGTTTTTAAAATTAAGAAGCTTTTATTTGCAATATATAAGCATTGATGATGTGTATATAAACGATTGTGCATTATGTTCACGCATAGTGCATGTTTGATTCAACACTCCATGTACAATGTGTTATTGTGTGAGACTGACTTGTCGAGGGATTATGTTGCATGCTTGCATGAGGTATGGAAACACCATGGTCACGGTAGTGTGAAGTGTCACCAGTCACTGGCTGGATATTGTGTGTTGATGTATCCATCAGAACAGTCACTACATGTACTTCTATGATTAAAATGTATTAAATGTTTCACGATTTCATTATTATTTATACAACCTCACCGAATTCATTTTGATTTTTTTGTTATTTTTCTTAATGAAATTCAATATTGAATTTGAATATTAAAATGAGAGAATGACAAGAGTTATAAATGTACAACAATGTAATTATTTTGTAATGGATAACTTTTTTTTAAAATTTGGTCCAGTAACAAGATGTATGCTAGTCAGAATATCCTTTTGTCACTAAATTTATTGCATGAATCAGTGTTCATAATGAATTTCCAGATCAACGAAAATTTTCCCGCCCACATCCAAGGTTAGAATTATAAATGTTAGGTCACACAAGATCAAGTTAAAATGAGCTTAATAACATGGAAATTAAATAAAATAACATATAACTTTTATTTATTGTCACTACTTTGTGTTATAGATTATAACTAAAACAGTTATTTTTTTAACCTCATTTAAATACAGCAAAGTCGGGAAAACCAACAAAGGAGACGACCCAAGACGGAGAGTGTCAGAATAATGCCGCTAACGTAGAAGAAATGTAACCAGTCATTTACTCCTAGAGCAGCTCTGCACTGAAGCACATTTATATGAGGAGCATTGGAATACAGGGTCACATGAACTCAGAAGAACAGAATATCATTGTTATATAGAGTATTTTAATATGAATTTCACTGGTATAGAATATACTCTAGGCATATCAAGTGTTCAACTGATGTAGTTCAGCAGACTTAGAAAAATCAACAAATTTCAGAGAGGAACAAAATAACTGAAGTGATATCACTACCTGTATTAATGGAATGAAAAGTCAGAAACCACCTACATAGGTTGTCAATTCAGGTCCAACCAGTACATAAACCATCAATTCTGAAACCCCAGTACATAAATTGCCAGTTCAGAAACTCCAGGTATATTAATAATTCAGAAATCCAGGTATATTAATAATTAATTCAGAAATCCAGGTATATTAATAATTAATTCAGAAATCCAGGTATATTAATAATTAATTCAGAAATCCAGGTATATTAATGATTAATTCAGAAATCCAGGTATATTAATCATGAATTCAGACAACCCTGTACACGACATCAATCATAAAAATAGAAACCAAAGTACATGAATCGTCAATTATGTAACCCCCATGACATTAATCATCAATTCAGAAATCCTGGTACACAAATACAACAACCTCATACCAAAATTGTCAATTCAGACAACCCTGTACATCATTATCTTTAACTACCCATACATCAGTAGCTGATTTACAAACCCTTATTTATCAAATGCTACCCAAGATCCTGTATGTCGATCATTTACAAGAAACCTCCACAACATGAATCTTTGATTCTTAAAACCCAATACATCAATTGTTCATTCTAAAACTTAAGTGCTCAAACTGCTCATTCATAAATCTTCTTTACAACAATTGTTTAGTTTGGAAAGTTTACCACAGTGAAATATATGTGGTCATCAGACACCTGAAAACTATCAGAAAGTGATTTACAGACGAGGTACTCGGACAAAAACATTTTTTACCTATAGGTAAACACAGAATGAAACAGTTTATTTGTCCTGTGTCCAAATTACTGGCCGAGTTAAACAATATATAGATTACATTAGCTATATATCATAGTTAATCTGTTTGACGAGTGCTTAAAACTGATAATATACAGATACTTGACACACGTTTTGAGCGGAGTTTGTGGTAACAGTAAATCTGAAGGGTATGTGAAAGCCAGTTTCTCAAACATTATATAGAAGTCTAACATTGTAGTAGGAGGTAAAAATGAACCTATATCTTATCACCTGTTCTACAGACTTTATTGAAAAATTTTATTCAACGGACTTTTGTTCAAAATTGAGTACCCCTTATTTTCATTATACAAATCATAATTTCAGAATTTTTTAAAAAAGATTTCAATATATCAAAATCATACATAATGTAGCCTTAAAAAGTCTGTTAAAACTATTGATTATGACAAACTTGGTCTTATACCATCAATACTGGGCTCACTCCAAATGGCTATTCATAATAAATTGTTCACATATTTCAATACATGACTTCTGTGACCTGGGAAAGTCAAGGTCATTCATCTAAAGAAACTTCATAGTTCTCTATTCTTGCTGGTTACTGGCTCTACACATTTAATCCCTGTTACCCTAAAAGTGTGTCAATCCATTAAAAGTTTTTAACACATTGTTACCTTGAAATGTTACTCAAGGTAAATCATTATTGATAGCCCTTCGCGATGCCTGATATCAAATTCTTGGACCTCTTGGTTATTCTGAAGTCCTGTGCCCTTCGCAATGCCTTATATCAAATTCTTGGACCTCTTGGTTATTCGAAAGTCCTGTGAAGATTTAAAAGACATTGATAACCCTTTACCAAAGCAAAACATCAGAAAAGCTTACACGAGACTGTCGGTGAATGTTTGTAATGGTAAGTTCATAAGTGCAAGAACACAAGTACACACATTTTGGAAAGCATAATTAATGATTATAGCAAAGTTGATAGAACTTTTTAACTGTGTTGAAAATCTATCTCACTGACCTACAGACAATAATGAATATTAATTTCTTTGTAATTAATTCATTTTGAAATTCAAGGATGTCACATGTCTTCGTGTATTTATCTTCTCTGCATATGTAACAATAACTGAAGGTTGAGTGTATGTACTATCATGGGCGTACTTCTAGAGTTGATGAGTCTGTACACATACTTCACATTTGATGAAGAAAAAAGGACCTGTGCATTGCATCAAGATCAAATTAACAAGCTTTAGTTTTGGTGTATTTGCCTTTTCTTCAAGGAACAGATACGAGTCTAGAAATTGGTAGAGTTTTTTGTAACAAACCAATGAAATGACTAGCTATGAGCCTTTGGCCCTGTTTGGACTCCTTTTCCAACCTCGTTTCAGAGGAGTTACATAAACAGTGTATAGTGAAAGTGAAAATTTTGAAGTTGGAAGCAGAATCTTTCAAGAACAAATCAGGACTTGAAGTCGAATAAACTACACCCACTCAAGGAAATGTACTTGTGAAACAAAGTTAGCTCAATCGTTGACGGGCATTTTTTTTTTTTTTTTAAATGAACTTAACTATTTTAAAGAAGTGGAGTAGAAATGAAAACTAAAAAATAAAGAAAAAACATAAATTC